CGGAAAACAACCAGTAAATCCACTAGAATCCGGAGAAATAACAATTTCTGGTTTTTCGATTGAAACTTCCTTAGATCGTGAGTTTTGTCTCGAATAACGACTCGAGGTTCCAGGCGAATCGTTTGTTTTGCTGTTCTGTCTTGTGTATTTTCCTCGAGAATTTATCACATCAGGTACTTGAAGAATATTACTAGATTCCGTTTCTTCACGTTCCAACGTACTGTCATTACAACCGCTGCATCGTTTCTTTTCTTGGTGTATTTGACCTTCTTTAATAGGTTTCAATTGCGGTGCCAAACTCTCTGGAGTTGTGGATTCACTAGTACTTGTGCTAGGTCCTATATAATTTCTGATATCGTATTCCAAATTTGATGGTAATTCTGCACCCATCGATAAATGCATTGCCAATCCTTCCAACCATAATTGCATTACTTCAAAAGGTGGTCTCTTATCGGGATTCAGATCACAACAAAGAAAGGCAATCATATAAAACATTTCCGGACAATTAGAACAAAATTTTTCCTTAAATACATTCTGATTCAGCCCGAAATCTGAAGATCGTGGTAAGTAATCAGGATCTGCTTGAACACGTCCAATGATTTCACAAACAACAATACCAAAACTGAATATATCAACTTTTTCATCATATTTGTTACCCTTCATCATTTCAGGCGCCATCCAATATGGATTTCCTACTACTGTGTATCTTTTCTTTCGCTCTTTTTTTGATGTTTTCGTTTCTCCCTCGGAATGTCTACTATATTTGCGATTATCAGGGGAGTTACCATTCTGTATTATCCTTGCTAAGCCGAAATCGGCTACAACTACAGTCTTATCCTCGCGTACAAGGCAATTATGCGAGTTTAAATCTCGGTGAATAATATTCATGGAATGTAAGTAAGCCATACCAGCAGCTATATCTTTAGCAAATGATGTTCGTTGTTCCCACGGTAAGATTTCATTTGTATCATGTAACAGAGCTCTTAGAGTTCCTCCTGCTATATATTCAGTGACCAAATGTAACTTTTTATCTTTGTATAGAACACCAATGAATCGGAGAACATTGTTGTGATGTAACGAACGTAAAACGGCAACCTGTTAAATTTATATAAAATAAAAAAAGAAATAAATAAAATAATATGAATAAATATAATATAGAATAATCATTGATAAAATAATTTTATTTTTTAACATAAAAAATTTACCTCTTTTAGAAAATTCTTTTGAGCTTCTTCATCAACTCTATACAACTCTTTTAGCACCATGACTTCATTAGTATCTCTATGTGTAACTTTAAACACTTGTCCAAAAAATCCTGTACCTAGTAGTTCACCTTTTACTAAATCACTAGCACGGAATATTCTTTGATTCTTTGGTTCAACACGAAATGATCTAGTTCTACTTAAGTCACATGTAAGATTTGTAGGTGAAGATCTATAAATATATCAAAATAAGAACGAATTTAAAAATAAATGTTTAACTATTTTTAATCATTATAGAAATATTTCATTCAAAAGTTAAACTATACCCATCAAGTAATCGCGACATAGAACTACTACGCTCTTTATGCATAGGATCTCTGGTTCTTCGCAATTGCCTGCTTCGCGTTCCACTGATGTAACCTTCATCTCGCCGTTTAAATAAACGTTCTTTATTTTCAGGGCTTGTTTTAGAACTCGAAATCGACGTCAACATCGCTGCAGACGGTGATGAATATGTAAGTCGTCGAGAAACTGTATCCGGATCGTGTTCAATAGTTAGCTAAAATATTCAAAATGTTTATTTTCATTTTTTTTATATTTAATTATAGATTTATTAGATTTAATTAGATTATATTTATTAAAATTTCTATATTTACTATTATATACATGTATTATGTACTATATACATGTATATGTTATTAATAAATATAATATACTTAAATATGCTTAAATTATATATGTAAATATTATATATAGAATTACCTGTAAAACTGTATCAGAATACTGTATAAGATTTTCAATACTCTCTATTGGCTGATCTTTAACTGGGGTACCATTTACTTCGAGTATACGATCACCAATATGCAAAGATATGAGATCACTGGACATGTTCAGTCTGTAACACGTTTCATGTGATATCTCCAATGTTTTGATAGATATATATATATGTATATATATTTTTTAAACAAAACATGCAAAACTTTGCGTGCATTTAGTTCATATTTGATTTAAATATTATAAGTAAAATTAAATAGTAGAACTAATATCCATATTTATTTTTAATCCAGCAAATTTTTTTGCATTATTATTATATCATCATTATATGTTATATAAAATACAAAACATAATCATATTAATACATAACATATACTACTATATATTATTTCAAATGCATGTTCTGTAAAGCATAAATTTTCATTTCATTTCTAAATATAACATGCTTACACATCTATGCAGCACATATATAATATTAGACAAGAAAATTACAAGAAAATTATTTTGCACAAGATATATTTTAGCGTGCAAACATTGAAGGACAATCTAATTTATAACAAATACAATATCTAATGCATATTATTTGTTATGCTGTACCTATGATTAGAGAAGTGGCAGCATAGTCTAAATAGAACCTCCATCACAGAGGCCAGCAGCTTACTGATTTTTCCACGAACATTTCTCATTAACCTGCATTTTAGTTTAAAGTTATTAGAGGCTGCTTATCTATTTTATTTTGTTTATTTATTTATTTTTAAAATAATCACATTCATGCATAGTATTATAAAAACAATAATAAATTTTAGCTTAATCATATAATTTTACAATAATTTGTTGCAATTTATATTTTTAATTGTTTTTTGTTTTGCACGTTTGTTTTAAAATATTATAAAAATTGACAATATTTGTTTTAAATTTTAATCTTAATTTACCTATAATAAAAATAAAAAACAGAAATATATTATTATACATACTCAGATATACGAAGTAAAGCACCACAATTTCGAGGATTAGGAGTTGTATCTAATGTCAATTTGATTCCTCTCTGTTTTTCAGGATCAGAAGTATTTGGAGGTATTTCCACTAATCTGATACTGTGTGGTTTCCGTGTGAATGGATAATTAGGTGCTCTATTAATTGGCTGCATCTGTCTCTTATAACAACTTCCACAATATAGTTTGGATCTCTCAACTAATGCATAACTTTCTCCATCTCCAATGAAAGCTCCACAAGAATTACAGGCAAAACATTCTGGGTGAAATTTGTGATCACCTGCCAACATGACAGGACCCGTAATGATTTGACCACAACCTTGGCAAGCTTCTCCATAAGCAGCCCAATAATCATCTTTACAAAAAAGTAAACCATCTTTCTCAAAGTACCATGTGGACAAACCAATATCACATGCTGAGCACCTAAAAAATCACAATTTTATGAATAATTTATTTTTATGAATATTGTTTTGATATTTTATTTTTATTATTATTATTATTATTTATATTTTTACCGAAAACAATCAATATGCCATTCTTGATTTAATGCCTGTATGAATTCATCTTCATCAATTGCATTGAGACATCCAGCACATGTTAATGTCCCACTACTTTCCCCACTTCCCAGATCTAGAAAATATTATATTAAAAACAAATTTAATTGAAAAACCATTTGTATGTGATTAGAAATTGAATTTTTTGCTTTTATAATTTCTCGTTAGAATCTCTTTTATGATGATTTCAAACATTCTGTCTGTGTCATATATTTACATTAAATATTTATACATGCGTATTTGCGTAATTTTCATATGAAAGTAATCCGATAATAGAAATTTTATTAAACATTAAATTTTATATATTTCGAATTTGTCGAAGTTACAAAAACAAATATAACGTAGTCATACGGAAAACAAAACGCGTCAGGGACGTAGTAGGAAGGAAATGTGATTCACGGTTGACATTAGGTAAGAGTTAAGAAAGCAGTTTATCAACCAGCTGACAATAAATTGGCTAATTCTAAAATGATTAAAGCTTGTCAATGAAAAAATTACAACACTGAAATTATAAAATACATTTCGAAGCATTGTTTGCTCATTAATGCATGATCGGAAAAATATAGTTTAAATGAATGCGTAAATAAAGTTTCTTGAAGAGCGTGGGCCAAGAGACTTGGAAGACAGGACGCCCACGCGATCTACAAAGGATCAAGCGTACACAAAAAATCATCGATCAATTCATTTGTCATATACACAATTCGAAAAATTATACATACTATATTGTGAATTCGGTCAATCCGTTCAAAAATAATAATTTACATTGCCGAAAAAGACATACCGTTTGACGAAACTTCATCCATCACAGCATTTAGGTAGAACTGACACACTCCCACTCCGCACTTTGATCATTGAATATATAGTAAACAGATTCGTAATCCATTCTTAATACGATGGATATTGCGCAATGGCGGGAAATTTGATATTATAAAATTGAAAATTTTTATAATGTTAAATATAATACATATATATAAATATATATAAATATGTATATAAATATCACAATATAAATTATTTTCAAATAAAATATAATATTAAATATGATAAAATAAGATATTTTTCTCATTCTAAAAATAAAATAATCTTTAAAAGTTACATTATTTTCAATAATAAAAAGATTTAAAAATTTTGTTTTAAATTTTTTAAAATTCATTGTTTTTTTTCTTAAATTTATTTAACAACAATTATTAATTGAAATAACTTCTAATCAATAATTGATAAACATTTTCTAAGATTTAATTCTGTTAAAATTTTGCAATGTAAAAAATTTATTCTTTCAAAATGAAAAAACAAGTAATTTGTAAAGAGGTAGTTGTTTATTTTTTAAAATATTTGGTCTTTCAAATCAACATAGATACAATTTTTTAAATATATCTTACATATATATATATGTTAAATTAATTTTTGATATATGAGAAATGCAAGTATATATGATAAAATGGTTGGAAATTGTAAGATTTCAAAGATAAATATAGAAAATTAATTACTTATAGATACATAGTTTCTTTATGATATATAATATAAATATTTTTTCCAGAAAGTATCCAAGAGATCCATTTTAGACTAAAATATATATATCAATATAATATAAATAATATTATCGCATGCAAATGTTAAAAATGTTGATTATATTATATCATATTATAATTAAAAACTAATTTGTATACATACATTTAAATACATATCTATCTCATATTCATCAGTACAGTTTAATCTTAGAAAATAAATTTTAAATGATAAAATTCATAATTTAAATCATTAATATTCTAAATATCCAAAATAATTTAACTTGCTTATTACAAAAGTTATTTGTATATTGAATATTGAATACCATATTTATAATTTTTTTGAAATAATTTAAACTTAATTAAAATAATCTTGAAAAATATATATATCTTTAAAAGTGATATGTAAAACAATTTTTTTAATTTAGTTAGAATTTGTCACTATACTGATGATCAATCGAAGGTCTTCAGGAAACTAAATGTCACTGAGCTATTTCTAACATATATATCAATGTGACATATTGAATCGATTGCACGCTTTCCCGGCTGACCTTCTCGAGATATTTACAAAATCCGGATAATCTTTTTGTCTAGCGACAACTTCCGGTTCTCTCAGGTCGCATCAATTATTTGAGCATGAAGAGCCATAAATGATTATTCTATAAGTAAAAACTATAGCAAGCTTACATATCTGAGTAATTTCGATCACAGTAAAGATTGTGCAGGATTTTCTTCTGATCATTTCATTTATTCTTTTATCACTGCTCAAAATAATTAGTAAACCATTTTTTTCATATCATTTAAGAAAAAGAATAATGAATGTATCATAAAATGAAGATTACAATTTACAAAATAAGATTGTCAAAAGCATTTGAAAGTCAATTTCATTTTTTAAGTTCTAAGTTATACAGTTGTATATATATAATTGATATTGGATTGCTCATTAAACTCATGTTATATGATAATCATAGGAAAAACGATAATTGAACTTAATTGTTGAAATTTCCATATTGTTTTATAAGAAATTGCGGAAATGTTTATCAATTTCTTGATTAATTTTTCAATTTAATGTATTTTGCAAATAAAATATTTTCATGTATAAGTGAGGAAATTTTGTTCAATCATTTTATATTTTTCATATTATTTTGAGCAGTTTGCATCGAATGAATCAAGTTCTTTCATGATTCTTGGATATTTGAGCTGCAACATTATCATGTTAATTTTAATTTAATTGTTAATTTTTAATTTATATATATAAACCACTTTAAAAATGTCTTAAAACAAATAAATTCGTTGAACGCACGAGTAAATTTAAAAATTTTAAATTTAAAAATTCAAAAGCTATCAAAAAGGATAGAAAAATCGTCGATATTGTGAAATTTATTGGTACGTTGTAAATTCATCAAGTTGATACTAGCATTCATTATTTAGAAAATATATATATATATCTCAAATATAATAATATTTTATTTGAAATTTAATTCAAAAAGTTGTCATATTTATATTTAATATATTTTAATTACTTCCGTATCAACTTGATGAAAAATTTTAATCTAAGGAAAATCGTAGAAAATGCTACGTGATTTTATGCAATTGCATGCATATTTGCGCGACTGAAATAACGACGATTGATATGCAAGAAATGCGAACCTTGTTTCGGTGATACAGTTCCAGTGAAATCTTTCTTTGTTTTATGTTCGATGAAACAATTGTTTAGTCAATTATAGCTATAATCTTTTTCTTTGTTACTATCTTTAGTTTAGCGGTAATCAATATAAATTTACCAAATAGTTTTTATTTCATATTGTATGTCTGTAACTTCCTTTTTTTTTCTTAAAAAGATCAATCATTTAAATTATTATTTTTAGAATTGGAAACATATTATAAAAATAATATTGAGCAGTAAAATTATAAACTATTTGCGAATATAAATTCGCAATTCTTTCGAAATCAATGGTTTTTATTCAAATTTCATATCGATTCCTTCTTAAGAATTTTTTTATATAGCATATCTGTATATATATATATATATATTTTTTTTTCTGGATTTCATTTCATATATTACGAAGCAAAAAACAAAAAACTTTTTATAACAATACATATTGACTTTTATATTGCAAGGATGACAGCTACTAACATTTGCATAACTATTTCTTACTTTCAAGCTGACCATCTTATTTATTCCATTTTTTACTTTTAAAATTGAAAAAATGACTAAACAGAAAAATAAAAAAAAGTTCTAATATTTTTCATATTTATGCAAACTTTAAAAAAAATTTTTAATTTTTTAAGACTAAAAAAATCCACTTTATTCGAAACCAAAGAAAAAATAAAAAAATATCTGATATATTTTTATATTTGTTAAAAAAAATATTAAAAAATATTTCTTGGATACTTCTTGCTATGGAATTTTCGGAAACTAATTTTCTATCTATTATTTTAGACCGATCTTGCAGAAAAATTGATCGAAGCTACCAAAAAGAGGATAATAAATTTTTTGTCAAATAAAAGTCAGAAAAGAAAAATGACATTCCATGAAAAATAATGATCTGTAACAATATAAATTCATGAATGATAAGGAAAGAACATTTCGTTCTATTCCCAAACAGGTTGGATCAGCATGAAAGAAAGAGGCGCGCAAGGAACGCTGTTGAAGCGCGTGCAATTATCCCACTCATTAGAACTCTGTTAACTGGCATCACTTCAAAGGCTGTCTGGTCCGTTCTTCTTGCGTTTCCGCAATAGCTAGTTCACGTTCAAGGGCATCAACGGCACGTATTTGTCGCTTGGTCGGAATTTGTACTGGGAGCACAATCGGTTCGATACCGATTCCGTGTAACCATTTCTGTAACATATCAACCACATAACGATTACACACGATCGATCATTACGAAATTTTGCAAGCAACATCGAAATAAAGCGGAAAAATGGTTAAAATAATATCAGAAGACCCATGAACACCACCACCACAATTATCATCAACAACCGATTATCTGTGAGAATAAATTTATAATAAAATTACATTCAATCGAAGCTCATATGCAACCATGATGATAATTGTTTCTGTTTGAGGATGTCACGCATTGCCTGTAGTATCTTGTAGAAAAACATCTTGTAGGTATAATAATCTCGTGGCGAATTAATATACTCGTATCGCGTTGAATTCATCCAAACCAGAAGACAACTGAAGAGAATTGATGATTTAATCATTAGAAATATGTGTTTAATTGTTTCATTTCATTTAATCATTTTGAAAAAAAAATTATTTTTACATGTATTTTTTAACAATATATTGAATATCTCAGAAAATAAGAAAAAATGAAAAATAATGAAAAAATTCTTTTAATATAATTGATATATAACTGATATAATTGATATATTTAATATAAATTCTGATTTAATATAATTGATTATATTGATATTCATATATATTGATGTAATTTTAAAAAAAATTGAATAATTATAAAAATTCTTCTCTTAATAAATATTTTATATAGGCAATACAATTTTTAATAATTTTTTATTTTGAAAAGGAGGGACTTAAAAATCCTAACTAAATAAATTTTATTTTCACAGAATTGTTTTTCAAAACTTACCTTTGCCACTGTGAACAGGGACGTCTCTCCTTAAAACAAGTTACTTGTATCACATTAAAAAAAAGAGCACCGAGAGTATTTGCGACTTCCGAATTAAGATTCTGCAAACATCTACGGAACTTCGCATCGCAGTCACAGTGAGACCGTGTGAAAGGCGAGTTATTGCATATACCATGAATGCATTCTTTAGGCGATATAGTGATAGGACAATGGTCATGTTCTCTACAACATGCATCCTCGGCTGCATGGTGTCCGAGATCATCATACGATTTCGCTAAAGTACCTGGACCACACCATTTTGTGCCTGGATAAATCAATCCACCTCCTGGAGGTTGATTCTGTAATAAAGAGAATTTTTTTTTTTTATATTTTTAATTTAATTTTATATTTTTATTTTTATAATTTTTCAAGATTTACTTATACATAAGTAACAATGAAATATTATTATTAAAAATTCTATTTAATGTAATTACCTTTGTACGAAATTATATTCTATACATTAAGCGAATCAAGTGTTCAATTAATTATAATTTTGTTTGATATCTACAATTTAACATCTGAAAAGATTGTTAGTACCTTTCCCTTGTCTCGAGAGGCTTTACACGTTTCTTCCAAATCTGCTACGAGATTGCTTGACATTTGACGGACTTTTTTTGGATCAGCACCAAGAACCATTTTTTGAATAACACCACGATCGGTGTACAAGGCACAGAAGGGCGCATCCGCATTTAATTCCACCATTCTTGACATAGTGGTATCTGCCACGAGAACACTAGCCTCAGTTTCATCCCCCCAGAGTGTTGGTATGAGTAGTAGAAATACTGTAAGCATCTATCAATCAAAATAATTTTTACAAAAAAATGAAATAAACATTTAAAGAATATTAAATCAGAGTCAATTTTAAATTTTTCATTATTTTTAGCATTATATATTCTGCTAGAAGAATCCTGTATATAAATTATAAATATGTATATTATAATTTAATATATCACAGAAGTCGCATTAAAATTAAAATTTTTTTTTTTTATTCAAATTCTGAATAATTTTGTAAAGATGCATTTGACAAAAACAAATACATTAAACGTATTCATTGCTATAAATAATGATATCGATTAATCAAAAAGAGAATCAAGTATTGTTAGATATTTAACTTTATTATTTCGTAAAACAATGAATATACAATTGATTTTTAATAAAGAAAAAATCCTTTGCCTATCAATCTGTTTCCCTATCTTCTAAAAATTTGAAATCAAACTCGTACATAAACATTTCCAATAGGGATAGTAGGTCGACAATGCGCAAACATTTCCTAACTTTTCTGTAAATATATTGAAGTGTACATATACCAATATTATTATAGTCTAGTCATATTTTGTCCTCAGTTTCACTTAAACACATAATATTAACTCCCACGCAAAATTTGAATACTTTTTATACTTATAATATTTATTTTAAGGAAAAATATTTTAAACAATAATAATCATTTTTTTAACTAGATTGTAAATTAAATAATGTAAAAAATAAATATTTTTTAATATTAAAAAAAGTAGTAATTATTAAAATGTATAGTCTTCTATACAATATTTCTTATATATTATGTATTATATATTTAATATTATATATTTATATATATTTTTTATATTATTTTTTAATATTTTTTATCAGAGAAACAATTTCCATGAAATAATATTTTCATTTTCAGATTAAACTCTCAACACTCACGTTACTAATACTCACATTACTGTTTCTTCAATTAGGATTAGAAGAATCTTTTATTATTGATGCGGATCTAATGAAAACTAATTATAAATAGAATAATGTGACGTTTTCTTTCTTAATCTAACATTAATTATTGCTTGTTGAAGTAACCGATCAGATAAATCAACATACAGGAATTCCGGTCGTTTTAACGAGCAAGTTGGAGGGTATACCAATTAAATGTCATAAAATGATGCGTTCATTGCTGTATCTATCATATCCATGATGAGATTTTACTTGATTATTTCATTACCAGACATTCATAAACGTATCGTTTTTTCTTTTTCTTTCCTTGACACATTGATCAACATTTGCATAATTTCAATTTATCCTTTTTTAAGCATTATTAAATTTCACAATTATAATTGTTTTGTTGTATTTTAAATGTTGACGTTTTAAGATTAAAGTTCAATTTATCATTTTTATTAGAAGATGAACAATCTATTTCTGAAATGATAAGATAATAAGAAACAAATTAGAATCAAGGAATTAATAAACATGATTATATTTGCATCTATACAAACAATTATTCTTTTCTCGCAAAAACATTATCCATTAAATATATCAAGTTAATTTATAATAATTTTTACATTATACTGATATTACTTTATAACAAAAAAAAAAGAATGTTAAAATTCTTTTACTATGTATTTTTTTTATTGTATATATTTTTTATATATATATATTTTTTATATTCTCTAATTACTAATAATAATTCTATCTGCACAAGTATATTAAGTGATTCACTCAATAAAATAATAGTCATTGCAATGAGACAATACAAAAGCACTTACAGTTGATTATTCGAAATCAAAACATTGTTAAAATAGCCACTATATATGACAACGAAATTTTTCTAAATGAATGTCAAATTGGAATTTCATGTCACATCATAATTTATCACCATCACGGTAAAATAAAAAACTTTCACATTATAAAAAAATTTAAGCATAAAATATATAAAATTCTCAATTTCTCTATTAAAAAAATGTTAATCCTTTCAAGAACTTATAAAAAAAGAGAAAAATCTTCTATAAGATTCGACATCTACGATTCAATCGCACCCGAAGCAATGGTTTCGAGGAACGTTGAACGACTAATAGTGTTTTACCTTTCTCGAGAATCACTTCAAAAGATCCTTCAAGGACAACAGTTCTCTTAAGGTCACAGAAAAATAAGGAACAAAAACCAAACCTTGACGATTCCTCACTGGCTGTCCTTCCCTCTGACGCATCGAAATCGCAAAAGAAATTAATTCGAAAAACGATATGTTGAAAGACAAGAGTGATGAATGACCTTACAAATCCCTATAAGAATCACTAAAGATTCGATATGAGATGATTTTAAATGGCTCTTAAGTAATCTTTAGAGATTGGCATCAATGGAAATTACTGATTTTTACACCAATCTTTTCTATATAATTGTATAAAGAAGAATATAAAATGATAAAAAAATCTTAAAATATAAATTATGTTGTTTGAATTTCAATTTTTATTGAAATTTATTTATAATCTATTCTATATCTAAATATGTAATTTCTCTAATTTTTTTTATTCTATTTCTATTAATTTATTTATAGTAATATTTATTTATAATAAAATTAAATTAGATTAAATTCCATTTGTTTTCATTTATTTTTATGTTTATTATTTATTTTTTTGTGTAATAATTTACTAATATTTATATAATAATTTATTATACAATAATTTATTAATATTATAGCGATTCTGTAGTTTGATATGATAGGAAGCCTGCAACAAATTCAATTTGGTTTTTCTTAATAAAAAAAATCATACAATTGTTTTAATACACAAAATTAATAAAAAGTGAAAAGATTGCAAGGAATATAAGACAACATATTATACATATATAATAAGATATAATAAATAAAATTAAATAAAAAAATTATAAATATAATAATAATCCTATCTAATATTATTATCGATAAAGATTAATACTATTCAACAGCACGACTTGTTTGACCGATAAATTTAATTTAATTAGATCGTCCCAGTTTAGAGAGGTGATAGATCTTGTGAATTTCACTAACCCTCGTCGTGAAATTGAACCAAATATCGAAAATCTGGGTCAGTCAACCTCATTAACCTCATAGAACTTGTCTCTTGAACTTGTGCCAATTTAAACCAAATAATTCTGTAACCAACTGATAAATCTATATAATTCAATTACACTAAACCATTTTTACCCATATAAAAATCATCAATTAATCATTATAAATTAATAATTAATTAATCATTATAAATCATCATAAATCATCATATCTTGTTTAATCAAATATTGCTAAGTTTTCACCAAAAAGAATATATATTTATTTATTGATTTAAAAGAATATATGAATATGTTTATTTATTGATTCAATTATTAATTTTTTTTTTGCTAATAAAAAATCTAATAATAATTAAAAAAAATCATGATCAGAAATTATTTATTATGGAAAAATGTATTAAAAAAAATTGTTATATAAAAAAAAAAGTTTTAATATAATGATCATATAATAAATATAAAATCATAATAAATCATAATTGTAGATTATTTAAGAATAATAATTAATACATCAATTTTTTTAATAATAATTAAAACATCAATTTCTATAAAATTATCTTTTAATGATAATTCCTATTATCTTTTTTCAAAAAGAAAATATGTAAATAATTCTTCATAAGAATATAAGAATCAAAAAATTTATAATTCAATATAATTTTTAATCTTCTAACTTTCCTTTTATTTGTTCCATCCAACATTCAATATTAAAGAAAGTTTATTATAAAGAAAAAAAAAGAGAAAAAAAGCAAGCAATGATTATTGCAATAAGATTATAATATGTCAGCGAATCATAAAAGAAATTAACTATGATGTAAAATAAAAACACAAGAATATAAAGCACAGCAAAATATCGCAACGAGTCGCCAACGAATTAGCAAATTAACAATCAGTCAAGATGTCAAGAACAATTCACAAGAAATCGCTACTCATTGCAATATACGCATTACACGCGCCGCTTAATCGATCAATTACCCTGTGGAAAAGTCGTACACGTGCAGTGGTGAGCATGTTTATTACGATATCACGATCACAAAGAATGAAACATTCAATCTTAACCAGACAAATAATAAAACTTTCAAATGAATACGTTGTTGCAAAGTAGATTGATTTAAACATGAATTTAATGAAACTATTTGGAAAATCAAAGAAATCGAGATATGTTCGAGTCGAAGGAATAACGCGAAACTCACTAAAAGAACAAGTGCGCAACTAGCTGCCAACTAACCCCCACTACCAGCTACGCAACCCCAGAAACCGCAACGCGACTCGAGCTGCTGCAGTGCGCAACAACCCCTCAACTGATCGACACCGATCTTGTGAAATTTATTTTCAAGGTAATAAAAACGCGAATAGAAATGATTTTAATATTTTGAAATTACTAATTTTACCAATTGAAAGATTATTATTAAAAAACATATTAGAAATTTTAAAATTCTTCAAGTTTAAGCCTTAATGATTTAAACATTCAAATTTATTATTTTCGATATATATCTCCATGTTAATTAAATGTTCATAATTTCAGAATATATATCATAATTATCATTACAATGTAATTTTTAACATATCTTAATGGGTGTGTAATTTCACCAATATTACCAATTTCAAAGGAGAATCTCGTACTGAGTTTCCTTTCATTCAATTTATATGAAATTCAATACTTATGTATAATTTCGCTTCCTAGATTATTATAAAAAATTCCATTTGCGTAGTAGATTCGCGCTATTCGAAAAGCGCGAATTTTTCAAGAATATAATATCGTTTAGCGATTCCTTGCACGTATGTTAAAGAAAATATATTTTGAATATTGAATATACCTTTGAATATACCTTTAAGATGTATTCTTAAACTTCTTAAATATGTTTTATTATTTTAAATTAAACAATTTTTATTAAAATTTTTCTATTATAAAATTATATAATTTTTAATTAATTAAAATATCATATCATATTTTTCAAAATTGAATAATAATTATTATCAGAGCAATTATTATTGATCTGATCTTTCAAATAATTAAAGATATAAGATATAATAAATAAAGATATAGAATTAGAATTAAAGAAATAAAAGAAAAAGACAAAAATGTAATGAATTAATATACATACATTGAAGTTTTATAACTCTCGTAGACGATGATCAATAATTTTTCCTGTCTTCACAGGATTATGATCTTTCAACAAAGAATTTCTGTGATTCCACAGAATCGTGAATCTCAAAATAGGGTAGTTGTACAAGATGTTTTTTTAAAAAAATTCGCTTTATCTCTTCTCAACGGCCGCTATCAAACTGATCGTTGAAACGGGTCGTCAGGATACTAATATTATGTGGCATACATATATGAACCGTGATCCAGATTACACGGGGGAGATTCCAAATCACGTGATATGCCACATACTTGCAACCGTACAATATATAACTTCTGTTGTAAATAGATCGAATTAATTTGTCGACAGCACAGGACATGCTGGCGATGTTTTTCCTTCCAGAGATTTTGCAATCATTTCACACTTTAATATCCCTCAATACAAGCCAATTAAAGACAGAAGGAAGAAGTGTATTTTCTTATTATTAAATATCGATGACAGAAATAGTCACTGCTGCGAATTGAAAAAAAAAAAAAGCATAGTTCAAAATGATTAAAAACTTATTATAAATTTATATAAAATAATTTTTGATTTCTATATATATAATTTGTTTTTTTAAGGAAATTTTTGTAAAAAATAAATCAAAATTTATTTTTAAGATAATTAAAATAATTTTTTAAGATATTTATTTTATTTTATAATCATATCAAAAAATTAAGAATATTATTTTGTTTATATATATATATATATATATAATCATCTATTCTCGTATCATTTTTTAATCATAGTATACAATTTCATACTTATCTCATTCTCATTAAAATTATATTAAATAGAATCAAAGGAGAAAATAGTATTATTTATAACAATTATATTTATTCTCTCCAAGAAAATGAGTATTGAAAAAACTGAGAAAAATTCTTAGGATCAAAATATATTAAATAAACTTTTTAAAATCAAGAATCTAGGGGATCCATTCAACTTCATTTGTTTCCTCATAATGCCTCATTAAGTTTTTTTCAGTATTTTCTTCTGGTTTGCTCGTGATTTTCTCTTCACTTCCGGTCAATTTATGATAAACCTTACTTCCCATGTTAGCTACCCATTCGACTCCATCGCCTACTTTTTCTCCAGCTTTGCGAACTAAATTGCCAATATTTTGACTTGTGAAAGTCGATGGATCCACCGTAATATCCAATGAATTATTACCATGTAAACATTTGATTTGACTAATAATGCTCAAATCAAAGGGATTCACACCAAAATCAGATAATTTTTGTCGTAAATTGTCTATAGAAATCTTATCCAATTCCCGATTTCTGGAAAGGATTGTTGCACTTTGACGATGAGCAAATGTTAACTTCTGACATGTAAAAATACCCGCGTAATTGTCGTAATCCGTGGCGAACACTACATGCGACGCACTTCCAGCTACACCTTTAAATACGATAAATTGATGTTAGAATAAATGTAATTCAAAAATTCGTTGGAGATTCTTTGAAATATTTAATGAAATACAATTTAATTTCATTGAAATTCCTATATTTCTATATTTTCTACTTTGTTTTAATTATTATGTCTTTCTTTTATAGAACTGTTTACAAATATATTTAACAAAAAATGTTTTTTCATTTTTTTTCAAAATTTTATAAAAGAAATAAAGGAATTTTCGAATTTGAAAAAATTTTAATTAATTTAAAAAATTCTTAATTTTTATATGAAAGTATTTTATATGTATAAAAGTTTATTTAAAGAAAAAGAATATTTAAATAACTTTAAAAAGTAAAGAAAATTTATATGCATAAAGTAAAGAAAATTTATATGCATATTCATTTATTTAAACGATTATTTAATTATAAAATTTTAAGAATAAATAAAAGAATTTATCTATTAAAAAATTTTTGTATATACTTCACTCTATATACACAAAAATTTATATATACAATGCTTTTTTATGTTTTTTTTTCATATTTATTTCTTAAATACTACATATTCCTTTGTTTTTTAAAATATCTATATTCATTATTTTTTTTCTATTTCATTATTTTATACTTCCCTGATATCACATACCGTTTATATTTTGAACTTTAATAATAAATAAAAATTTTTATTAAATTCTCTAAAAATTTTAAAAAATTATTAATATCCTATATCGAATTATCGAAATATTTTTCAAAATAATCCTCTAAACTTTTTTTTAAAATATCAATTTCCTCTTGAACAATTGAAAAATATGATTAATTTATTTTATAAACACAGTTTACTTACTAAGAGGAAAACGAACTTTCATTAGAGCCGGCGTACTCGGATTCGGTACGGTCAATTCACCAGTGTAATGGTACTCATGCTTCAATGACGTAAGACCTGTGTAGAAACGTCGCTTCATTACGGATAATTCATCCTATTTGTCAGACAGTTATTCTATTGACATGCTTTTATGAGTCTCGATGGATCCGACGTTCTTTATTAATTCAAAAGCTTTTAACAATACATATGTGTATTAGTACGATCTCGTTTATAAAATTTTCTTTTTCGTAGTATCCTCTTTGTTTAATGTTAAAATCCACAAAAAAAGAATATCGGATTTTAATCTCAATTCTTTAAATTTTAAATTGAAGACTATTTTAAAGTATTTTTATTTATATATAATTTTTAAAATTTTAAAAATCTATTATTTTCCTTAATTTTTAAAAAAAAAATTTTTTTCAATTTTAAATTTTTTTATCTTACTTAATACTGGATGATCGGAATCCTGTTTTAAAATGTATTCACCCGGTTCCTCTCCACGAGTATAATTATAAGTAATACATTTGCTAGCAGTGGAAGTTTTCTGAATTACGTACCATATACCTAAAAACTAAAATTTCTAATTTATCATAAATGAACAGAAAAATAATTTAATATAAAAATATTTTTGTTTATATACAATATATACAATAGAATTATAAACTTACTTTGTTTATTTGAAATCCCTGCATCGGTTCTACGATGGGACAAGGCCCCACGTGATATGTGTGTGTTTTGACGAGAACAAAACATCCTAGTAAGAATGCTAGAGATAATATCTTCATCTATAAAAAAGTTTATATTATTTGAAAAAAATAATATCAATCTCATCAATAATATCATTTTTTATATTACAAAAAATTTCAGAATCAATGATTTCCTGATAACAATTGTAATTTTATCATTGCTTAAAAATACATCGAATACATAAAGATATTGTCTTATTTTAATCAAATAAATCTTTAATAAAATAAATAATTAAAATAAAATAATTAAAATAAATAATTAAAACTTATATTAATTATAATATGATGTTTAAAATATTTAATTATATACAATTTATGAATAATACAATAATGAATAATGTTCTTGAATTCAAGTAAAAAGTAAATTGTAAATTGTTCATTGTACATTCAGTTTAATTTTTTTTAAAGTTTAAATTTTCTATAATAAAAATATATCAAAAAAGAAAATTATACATAGTATAAAGTCAACTTTGACCTCACTCTTCGCTGTAGACTTTAAAAAATTATTTTTCTTTTATTATCTATAGATAATATATGATATACATATGTATATTATTAACATTAATTATATATATTTATAACACTAATCATAATAAAATACAAGATGGAGAACTATAATTCGTGTGAAATATTGAATCGAAATTTCATTAATATTGTTTTCATTTGAAATCTATTTTTAATTATTATCATTTATATATCAAAAAAATATTGTAAAATATATAAATTAAATTAATAATTTCTTATGTAAATATTTCTTTCTTTTATTTAATTAATATTAATACTTAAATAATATTAATACTTATAATTATAAAATTTTTTAAAAAATATTTAATGGAAATATAAATTTATATATCATTAAAATTAATTAATTAATATCGCGACAAAATCATTTTATGATATATGAAAATTCTGTTTAAATATTATCTAACAAAAATTTTCGGATACTATTTTACAAGAAAATTCATTTTATTCAAAAATTTTAATTTTAATATCAGTTTGTGTATACTCCGTATATAATTAATAATTATATTATACTCCATGTATAATATCCATGTATAAATATCATTAAGCTTTATATATATACAATTTTCATTAAAGTCAAAATTTTTGGGTTAGGTGAATTTCCTTTCAAGATACGAAAACTTTTAAGTTTTATTATTTGTATTAAAGTCATTAACCTTTTCTAGAATATATTTAAATTGTAGATACAAATGCAAATATAAATAGAATCATAATATATTTTATATAATGTTATAATATATACTTGTGAAATAATATTACTATGCAATACACTTGATATCTTAAATTCACCATTGAAATACTCACCGTGAGATGATGTTGTCAGACTCTGAACTAGTACTGTAAACAGTAGCACAGTGGAGAAGAATTTTATGAGACATACTCCCCTCTCAATCCAATTATGGGTCATTTATACTTCGAATATAACTGATCATATAACATGATCAAATACGTTATTTCTAAAGAATTCGTAGAAATAAATTATATAAATAACTTTTTATATTATACTCTACAATATCAAATTATTTACAGGAATAGTAAAAAATAATACATTTTTTTATATTTTATAACTTCTTATTTTGAAATCGCATTATATTACATTTAAAGAAAATAAAATATATATGCAAAGAAATAAAAACAATAAAATTTTTTATAGATATTTTTATTAGAATATAAAAAATTGTAAATATAAGATATCTTATGATATAAAATTTATAATTAATTTGGTAATAATTCATTGTTATATAGTTTTTAATATATAAAAAAAGAATGAAATGAAAATATCTAGATTATACATGTTTTTTTAGAAAAAACGATTTATAAAAAAAAGCTGAAGATACGAATGTAATTTTATTATATTTGCTTACGATGAGTCATTTTCGTCCGACGAATCAAGTCATTCTAGGAATGATATATATGATTTCATTCTTTTGTTTTTCTGTAGTTTAATTTATAATTTAATTTACATATTATGTATTAAAAGAAAAGTCACACTATGAAAAAATATCAATATAAATACAGAAACTTTAAAAATATAAAAATGATAAATTATGGTGAAGATACCGAGATTTCTCCTGCATCAAAGAACATATAAATAAACTATCGTCGTTTATTTTTATTATAAAAATACAAAAGATATATTTTTAATAAGCATGTGAATTTCTCAGTAATATTTACAGAAAACAATAGCATATATCTTCAGCTGAATTCCTAATAATACTAAATGTACTATCTATCTTAAAATTAAAACATTTAGAATATTTATTTCAAATAGTAAAAACATCATTTTCTTTCATTTTAATTCAATATATGATAGAATGATATCTAGAGCATTTATAATACCACAATATTTTTTTTAAAATGAATAAGTAATAAGCGCAAAAAGAATCTGAAGTTAAACAAATAGATGAATTATTCAAATATCAAATTGCTACAAAACATTTTTTGTTCAAATATAATACAAAAATTATTTTTCTCTTCGAAATTTTTATAGAAAAACTATCTTTGCTGATTAAACATAATATTCTTCTGAATATAATTTTCATTATACATGATGAACAAAGTCATTGAAAAAAAAAACATTAAATGTTTGCTTTTATATGTATGAATAACTTAATATTTCAATATACCCTGAGATATAATTTATGTAGTCATAATATCTGTGTACCATACACTTATCCATTCGTTTTGTTTTTCTGCATTATTCCGGCGGCAATTTAGAAATATCCAAGTCGTTAAAATAAGGATGTTTTAGAGCAGCTCGTGCCGATATTCTATGCACAGGATCATAAATAAGCATCATTTGCAAAAGATCAAGTCCATCATTATCTAATGTTTTAACTTGTGATTCTAAGTTATTAGTTATCCAATTTGGAAATGTGGCCTTATAATCTGATAACTGTGTTACACCAGGCCATATTTCTTCTGTAGGAGTTCTTAATATCCTATAAAATATTATTAATTCAAGTTCTTATATTACAATCTAATATATAATATTGACTTTAAAATCAATTTACCGAAATATTCTAAATAATTGATCAATTTCACTATCTCCTTGAAATAATGGTTTTTTGGTTGCCATTTCAGCAAATATACAACCTATACTCCAGATATCAATGGCACATGAATATCTATTGGCACCAAGAAGAATTTCTGGAGCTCTATACCATAAAGTGACTACTTCATGTGTATATACTCTAACTGGTATTCCAAATGCTCTTCCAAGTCCAAAATCTGCTACCTTGATCAATCCTGATTTGTCAATTAATAAATTTTGTGGTTTCAGATCACGATGAAATATTCTACGTTTATGACAGAATAAAATAGCACGTGTAATCTAAAAAAAGGATTACATATATTTTTAACTTTTATAAAATATTTTATAGTATTTATATTTTATAATATTAATTCATATTAAAGTAATTTTAATTTGTATATAATTATATGTATAAATATTATATAATAATATATTATTGTAACAAAATTATTTTATTTTGTATTATATATTAAAACTAATTTCAAACCTGATATAAATAAGATTTAACCATTTTTGGCTCCATTAATTTTCCAGTACCTAAATTATCCATATATTTTTTTAAATCCATAGTAAGATATTCAAAAATAAGATATAATCTAGTCTCTTCCATTAAGACATCCATTAATCTAACAATATTGGGATGTGGCAATTCTTTAAGTAAAGAAATTTCACGAATTGCTGTTGATGGTATTCCTTCATCATCACTTTCCAAACGAATTTTTTTCATAGCTACAATCTCTCCAGTTTTTTTATGCTTTCCTTTGTACACTACTCCATAAGTACCTGTGAAATTTTTTTTGTGATGCTATAAATTTTTTGTGACGTTTTAAATTTTCTTTAATATCAAAATAACAAAAATAATAATTTTTATTCTATAAATGAAATGTATATGTGTACTTATGAATAGTTTTTTTATTCTAAACAGATTGCTTAATAATTATGATTTTTGAAATAATCATCTTTTAATAACCTTAATTAAAAATAGAATTTAATTAAGAGATTAAAATTTGTACAAAATTTATTATAAATTAATAGATTAAATTTTGATACAAATTTATTAAAAATATTTTTAGATTATAAATAAAATGAATCTTAAAAAATATGATAAAAGAAATACTAATTAGACAAGAATAATCTGCAAGGTATTATAACATTCACCTTCGCCGATTTTTTCAATCTTCACAAAATTCTCCATACTGAAAGAACGCTTAAAATCCTAATCTATGTATATTTTTCTAAATTCTAATGTCTAATATAATTCAAATATAATAAAATTTCACATATATTTCACAAATTTTTCCAGTATACCGTCACGTAACGATTAAATTCAAATGTCGGTACGCCATATTGATAAACATGTTTGAATGTTCAGTGTTCGGTTTGTTCCGTAACAAGTCGGCCTTGTCATAGCCAATCCGAACAAACATCGTAATATTTAGGTTATTTCGTAAAAATATTTCGCTTTTACGAAAAAGGTGTTATTTCTAAACCGCGCTTTTATGATATTTTAATATATGGTTATAAATCATAATTGCTATTATAAAACAAATTAATTATATTTTTAATCAAAAAGCTCCGACTATTTTTAACCTTATTTCAATTAAAATTCTTAATTATAATTAATATATTATTATATTACGTATAATGTTATTGTATTATTATATTATATTATTATATTATGTATAATATAGATAAATTAATATAAATATAATAAAGTCAATATTAAGTACAAGTTTTCAATAAATCTGAAATATATTGATTAATATGAATAAATTTATATTCTAAAGTTTGACTTTATATTAAAGAAAGGAATTTAAAAAAAAAAATTCAAAAATTATTTGACATTTATTAAAAAAAGAGAGAGAAAAAAACATCATTCATGTCAATGTATCTCTTATTTGTACATACAGTATATAGGTACAATGAAATTATCATATAAATTGATGTTACAAACACATTCGTAACAAACAAAGATTTCTTGTCTTTTCATTTTTTTTCTCAAACAAAAATTAATCAAGAATATTTATCGTCAAATCGAAAACACAGAGTTCTTCTTCCAGATTCTTAATAAATTTATTTTTTTAAATGTTTACAATATAATTATATAACTATAACAAGATTATTCAAATCTTTGTTTGATAAGCTTTTAATTACTCTATAATTCCTATATATAACGACTTTGAAATAAAAACTCTGTTTTGTAATCGACCTGACGAAATTGTAAAACCAAAAATCGAGTTGCACCTGTGTTAGACTTGTTATTAATCATAACTCAATGTCGTTCAAAAGTTTCAACACATTTTATCGAGGAAATTGATAGCCACCAGTAGCATAACCAAGTCCGACACCTCGTTGTGTGTGTGTAGTAGCACGTGCTACCTCATACTGTTGTTCCATGTTATTGAACATTTCTTCTTGTTTTTTTAATATATCTGGTTTGGTACCCGCTGTCGGAGCAATCGGTAAATCGTCTTTGATGCCCATTAACCGCTTAAACTTTGCCGTTACTTTTCCATCCTGATCATGAGTGAATGTTGTTCCTACCCAAGTGTTTGCAGTAGAAGCTGCTGTAGATGTTTTACCTTCATCTTGTTTTGACTGTAAAATAAAAATATATATATATAAATTTGAAATAATTAAAAAATAATTAAAAAAATATATATTTTGATATAAAATTAACATGAATTAATAATTAATTACCTTATTCGCCCATAATAGTTTTCTCTTCTGTATCTGTTCCGCATATTTTCCTTGCGTCGCTGTGGCTAAAGGATTATAATAATTCTGTTCATTTTGAATGCCTGGTGTAGTAGTGTCTCCTTCTGGTGCTTTAAGTTCAATTCCTAACTTCTCTAATTGAGCTAACTTATTTCTACCTTTTTCTTCTCTATAACTCATTGTTCGAAAAGGAGGTGGAGCTCGGTCTCTCGATCTAGATCTTGATCTTGCACGATCTTTTTCTTTATGATAACTGGATCGATCGTCTCGATATCGATCTTTCGATCTATCATCTCTAGAATGTCGGCGATCTCGATCTCTGTCCCTATCTCTGCGCCTATCTCTGTCACTTCTGTCACGATTTCGATCTCTTCGATCATCACGATAGTGATGATCCTTGTCGCTCTTTTCTCTATCATCACTCTTCTCATCTCTACTTGATCCTAACGAACTCTTTTCTTTTTTTTTATCATCGTCACGGGATTTTCTGTCATCATCCCGATTCCTTTTTATATCTCTGTCTCTATGACTGTTTTCTCGTTGTCTTCTATCATCGTATGATGGTCGTCGTCCCTTATCACTCATATGTCTATTACGGTCGGATCTATCTCCTCGTTTGTGCTCGTCTTTTGAATTTGCTGTGTGATTTTCATGATCAGATCGCCTGTAAAACGATTACGTTCTGCAGGATATACCACACAGATTCGTATTATTATTTTGCATGTAAGGGAAATATTATGTGGTAAGTATGTTGCAAGTTTGTTTGTTTGTTTTTTTCTCTTATAAAGTTCAAAGAAATATATTAATTTAAATTGAGAGGAGAATAAGCTTACAAACAAACCAGCTTACCTCTGGTCTGAGGGAGAAGGTAATGATCGAGATGAGTCTGTTTTTGATTGTGCTGCTGGACTCTGTGCTCTTTCACTACTGGATTCTCTAGACGAATTGTTGTTGTTGCTTTCCTAAAGAAATAAAAATTATTCACATTAATATGCATTTTATATATTTTATTAAATAAAACATAAATTTCAATTTACATTACAAGAACTATTATCTTAAACCAAACGTTTTTTTTAATACCCTCACAATTTAACAAAAATCAATCTTTTACTAATTTAACTTTATGAGTTTAATAGTTTCTAACAAATATATTTATTTTAAAATTATAAAATTTATAAAAAAATTTATAAAAAAAACGAATTTCTATATGTATATGTAAAGATTGAATTTTGCAATATTTGTAATTACCAAATAAAAATTACTACATCCTAATATTTTTGATATTTAAACCATAGTATTTAAAAATAATAGAGAATATTCTTAAAACTATTGTAATTTTTACAAAAAATAAATTTTCTCACATCCTTGGTTGTACTTGATACAAAAATTTTATAACATAAAAATTTATATTGTAAATGTACATTGTAAATTTCATTGTACACTTTTTCCAGTTAGATTTTGGAGAATAGAATAAAAGAGAAACAGGAATATGAGGGCCCTTCACATTTATCTGTTTTAGCAGTTAGTTATATTACCCGAATATGTTTGTACATGTGGTTTCTTTGATGGTTGATTTTTTATTAGTGTTACCTTCTTCCAGCTTCCTCTACTCACCTTTGTCTTCTCAATAGGACTTGGGGTAGTCTTGAAAGACCCTCACACAGCATAGACCTTGCCGAGGTGCGTAGATATTGTATCATGTATTACCAACAGAGCTACGTGTTAATATTTTCTCACGAAATGGCACTATTCCCATTTACTTATTATTTAAATTTTAAATATCTCAATTTTTACTCTCATTGTTTCTGCCACATGATAAGGCTTTAAGATCATGTCTTAAACTCAAAAAATTTTATTTCATAAATTATATTTTAATAATATTATTATAATATATTAAAAGATGATATAAAAATAATAAAGGATAAGACATATATATAAATATAAATATTTATAATATATATAATGAAAACAATATAATGATAACATTATATTGTTATTAATGTTCAAAATAAAGATAAAAAAAGAATTGTTAATGATATTACATTATTAAAATTTTTACAAATAAAAAATAATAAAAATTGTCTCAATTCATATTAAACCTTTATAAAACAATCTTTTTTTATCAATTTCAATGTAAAAAAGTTTTATTTTATTAATTGTTTTTGAATATTTAATACAAAATAAATGCTACAATGTTATTATGAAATTGCATTGTATTTATATAGTTTTGTATAGTTTTGACATGACCTCTAAAAACCAAGCTTTTTTTCTGTCATGAACCTATATGTATGTATAGCCCTCATAAAGATACCACATTTTCCTATTATTCGTTGTAATATTCTGTACTTAATATTACAAAAAAGCATTTACAAACATTCAATTTTACTATACCTCACTCATGTCCATTTGTACTGGATCGTAGTTTGCGTCACTGGCTCTTTTATTGGTATCACCATGCATCCCATATGATATCTTAGAAACACAATATTGGTGATAAACCACTAAATAATTTAAAAATCATAATATATATTATCAATATTATTATTATTATTATTATTATTATTATTATTATTATTATTATTATTATTATTATTGATATTATTGATATTATATTAATAATAATCTCAAAATAAATAATTAAATTATTCATATTCAAAAATATCAAATAATTTCTTAGAACATTAATAAATAAATTAGTAATTTAGAAAATTCATGTATAAATATAAGAATTTTTGTATCTCTACAATTGTAGAAATAAGAATGATTACGTGTAATTTATATGTTAAGTAAACGTGTAGGTTCGTTAAATCTACAATTAAAAAACATATAAATATATATCATAAATAGTTAATTCAATTTTTTGAGATAAAATTATTAAATGTAAAAATTGTATTTATAAATAATTGAAAAATTGTATTGACTTAAAAACCTATTCTAAGAGAAGCCATGTCGTGTATGTACATGAAAGTTTCTTAAGTATTATAGATGCCGCAGTGAAAATGAGATATCAACAAAATAATTATAAAATATTCTAACGTTTATCAATATGTAAATACTCACCTTTGGATCTTCTGAATTATTACTATTGTCCCCGTCACTAGCGTAATTCGCTAACGAATCCATAATGGCGTGAAAACGGGGAACGAACTGTCCGAAATTGTTACGACTATCGCAGCGCGTCGATCCTAGGCTGCCTTGCGCAGAAACGCCATTGGTCGAGAATATTTAACCAGCTTGTATATACATACCGTGCTTTTCTAGTGCTTCCATCGAATGAGGTTATCGAAGCGGAAATGGAAGAAAACGATATAGGAAATGCAGAACAAGCGGCGAAATTAAGCGCGAACATAAAAATCTCAAGAAAATTTCTTCTAAATAAACAATTGATTGAATTCTGATTATTAAATATTATTATTTTTATAATATATTATTTATTTTTATAATATAATCTAAATCGATGATATATTAAGAATCGATGATATAAAAGAATTGATCTATTGGATGAAAATTATCATTGTATTCTGTAATAAATGTTAAAAAAAAATTTGTAAGAAAAATAACATTTTTTTTAAGATAAAAAATAAATATAAAATTTCTAATAATAAAACAATATTAAAATATTTTATTAAAATAACTTTAAAAATATTATTAAAATAAATTTAAAATATAATATTAAAATGTTTTTATTAAAATAATTTTCAATTTCGATTTTATGAACATTATCTTACATAAGTTCAGTTTTATGTAAAATATTATAGTATTATAGTAAATTATAACAGATATGAATTATCTGTGAATTAGATAATTATAACAGTAATTTTTAAAAAATATATGTAGATGATATTTATATAGTCATTATATCTTAAAATATAACATTAAAAAATACTCTAAAAACAAATAAAATTTGTAAACAATTCTTAATTTATTTAAAAAAATTATATGATTTTTTTTTATCAAATGAAAAACAACTTTAAAAAAAAAATCATATTTTTTAAAATAAATAATTTTATTTAAATTTCTTTATATCTTTAAATTAATCTATTTTTTGTTCATTAAAATTATCTATATTGAAAATAAAATAATTTATATATATATATAAAAATCACGATTTTATGAATATAAATATATTGACAAAAATAAACTTACTTTTGGAAATAATAAAAAAAAAATCAGTTTATGAATAAAAGCATTTTTGTTTATAAATGAATCAGGAAATAATTATAGAAGATGCCGAAGATGCATGAAAAGTGTTGCAAAGGTGGGTTGATGCTAGAGAGCAACTCGCATTGACGTTTACGCGCGGAGAAGCGCAAGCCGGTGTGCAAGAGTCGTAGTCGTGTCATGAACAAACCGGGACGCAACAGTCGCTTACCAGACTTCGTGCTGGATCAATCGTTGAAGCTATGATTTCGCACTTTCGTGATATTTCGTGATTCAAATCCAGGAAAACTTATTAGAAACATCATTTCGAAGAAAAATATTGTGGATTTAGTTATTAAAGTAAGTGATTCTATATATATTTCTTTCATTATAATCGCGGAAACCCTATGGTCCGGGCAGCAACCCTTCGATACGCTGATCGAAGTATATATCTCAGTACACGCGTACCGTGAATGTCGATTCTCTCGTTACACTCGGATCTACGTGACCCCGTTTTCGTCTTAAATCATAGTCAATTGTTTTTAACGGATGACATCCTCCATGGTGAATTCTTTAGTTAATTACGATAGAGAGATGGACAGATTTTGGACATTTTTTTTTTTTTTTACTCACATCTCAATCCAGTTTAATTAACAAAAATATGACAAAGTGATTTATATGCACCTTATTTTACACGTTTGTTCATGATTAAAAATGTACAATTATTCTGTCTCGCATTTTAATACAATAGTAATAATCTATTCAAGTGGTCTTTTCAATCAATTTGAGATAGTTTAATTAAATTGTTATGTTTCATTTACAAATATAAAAAATTATATGTAAAAGTTTGATTAGATTATTAAGAATTTTGTATTATTTTTCAGCATTCGTATTGTTTATATTTTCTATCACGAGCGTTTTTACCCGTTTATATGCAAAAAGCCGCGAGTGATTGTTATCGATCGAAATTTCTGAAACGTTTCATACAGGATTACAATATTTTACTTGCATATGTAACTATAAGAAATTACGCTGATTGAAGCGGATAATTTAATTATACATTTGACGTTCTCTGAAATAGTTGGAACATTTAATAATAGTATAACGAATAAATAAGTCAACGCGTATATGTATCAAAATGTCCATGAAAATAATCATATGAATTATTCTTTATATTTATTTTGCTCTATTTTTTTAATTCCGAATCATTTATTCTTATTTCTGAATCTAATTTTTTTCAAATAAACAAATCCTTTATTGAAATAAATTTAATAATTTTATGTTGGTTATAGAATGTAGAATAATATAGAATAGATAATATAAGAATAGAATAAAATATAAAGTAAAATAATAATTATTAAGAATATTAATTGAAAATTAAATATTATTATAATTGTAATATATAAAATTATCATCAATATTAAAAAAAGGAATATATAAAATATAAATATAAAAAAAATGTGTTCGTATTTTTTGACATTATTTTAAATCGAATGACACATTTCATTTTTTTTTATCGAAGCATGAAACACATGATTTCAAATAATTTAAATTCACAGAAACATTTTAATTTTTTTTTTATAATAATGCGATTGATATTTTTTATTAAATTTTCATACTGTCTGACGACATAAGTAATTTATTAATATATTGAATCGTATAGAATATATTTTTATAAAATTTAAAATAATGCTATTAATTATATTAACATAAAAATTATTTTTATAATTATAATTTTTCAAACATAATGATTAATTGTATTTGTAATTATATTAATTATTAACGATATTTTATTAAAATTTAAATAAAATATATGTCAAATAAATATAAATAAATATTTAAATTTATAATAAATAATAATAAATAATGAAAATAAAATAAATATTCATCATGTTCTACAGGATCGATTCAGGAAAGAAAAAAGATTTCTTTACATGAGAATATTCAATTATCAATAAGATCAAGGATTTTGAAATGAATATTTTAAAAAATATTTATTTATAAATATATATTTTTTAAAAAATATATATATTTTTTAAAAAATAACCGATAATAGTCTCACTTCTTTGTCTCGTCAATTGCAATTCTAACTTTTGTGATTTTGATCGTGACAATAGAGTCCATGTACTATTTGATTCCAATGATGAAAAGTCGCTTTGGGAATACGCTGAAGGATCATTAAGTTCTTCATCGCGGAAATTGTCAGAAATATCAAGAATGACATAAGTTGTCGCGACTGGGCAAAAATTAATTTTAAAAATGTATTACCGAGGAAAAATTATTCTGTTCTTGCACTCACAATAGTCGTATTCGATAGTTATTAATTAAATCTAGCTCAAGCCGTTGAACTTTTTGTCAATACTTTTTCCATTAATTACTATTTGTATTGGTTAACTCTATTCTTATTGCGGCAACAAGATATTAGGTGCGGATATTGTGAATTTATGAGAATGTGACCAAAACATTAAAATTTCATTAGTAAGAATTATTAAATTTATAAAAATTTCATACTTTAAAACTGAATTTGAAATGAAGTAACTATGTTATTGTTGTGTAAAATAGAAATACAAAAATATTTTTCATGGAAAAACTTAAGTAATGTATGAAGAATGAAATATAATTTTGTATTAAAAATTAAGTATAGTTATAAAAAAGTACTTATGAACTTTAATGAAAATAAAATTAATTGATTCTATTAAAAATAAATAGTAATGATCAATATTAAAGCTTTATTACATTTTATTTATATTATTTATAGAGGAAATTTTGTAATAGGATTAAATATTTATTATTAATTGTATATCATTATCATTCATTCTTTGCGATATCAATTTCGAATTTTTTTATTAAATCGTTCGAGATATCGAATTGTGCAAATTGTAGCACGATAAAATTTTTTAGATCAATACGAGCATAACCTCAACTACCGTTACTTGTCGAAAACAATTTATAAATGTAATATGATAAAATTAATTGTATTTGGAAGTACGAGTAAGCATACGTAATTTTATTTTTACCACAAATGAATATAATAATCTTCGTTCGAAGAAATTCTCTGAGAACCCGTTCGTTCAGATGACAATAAATATTGTACAAGTTCTCCCTCGTTTCTTCTCATCTTTCGCGTCGTTTTCTTCGCATATACACGTCCCGTTTTCTCGCTCGTACTCGCGCGCGCAATAAGGTTCCGTTATCCACAGTAAATACACATCGAACATCCTATGCGTTTGCCTCTAGTGAAAATAAACAACATATGCAACAAAATATGATACATGTTTACAGGTAGGCATGAAATCGCTGTTTTATATTGAAATTTTTTATTCAATTTTTGATTTATTCATCATTTATTGATTATATATTCAATAGATTATTGATTAATATTAGGTTAGAATTCATTCAATAGGATACATAATGTAAAATGGATATAAAAGAAAAGAAAATGGATGGGATCTTTTATAATAGGATTATAAATTATGTTCACATATTCAAGAATTCTTCTGTTTTCATTAATTATAACATAAATAAAATTTTAATAAATATAAATAAAATTTTATTATTTTTTTATATTTGTTTGTTTTAATAAGTTTTTATATGTTCATATCTATAGCTTCTTGTTATCGTTGAAGTGGTTCACAAAACATCATTGTTGGAGCAAATAGAGAAAGCATAATCTAGAAGTGTGAGATTTTGGATGATGGGATTTAATTAGGATTCGTGCAATGCACGAATGAGTAATTCAAATTGCTTGTAAATTCTCTCTCTCTCTCTCTCTCTCTCTCTCTCTCTCTCTCTCTCTCTCTCTCTCTCTCATGTAACTATACAAAGGAAAAAACCAATCTCTTCTCGTCTCGATTTAACGTCATCGCTTGCTATAGATTCTCGAGTTCTACAAACAGATCCACACTACTCAATCTCCAGTTTACGATTCCCAGCATAGCCTTGTTAGTCTCAAGGATAAACCAATCCTTTCGGTTAAAGAAACGTATACCATTAATATTAAATTATGTCAGAAATTTAATGTCTAATATTACTTAAAATTTTAAAATTATGTCTAATAATTGTTCTAGATTCGTTTTAAGATTGATGAATATGAATTCTATGGATTCATATTC